ATTTTGCAAACCAATCCATTTTTACAAACCATGAAAACTATTGATTTCATTGTTTATTTTAGTGAAAAAATTTCATTAAATTGTTTAATATGATGAAATAGTTTTAAATAATTTATTTGAAATAATTATGGACATTATCAACTTCATTCTATTAATTTTAGTAAAAAAATTCATCAAAATGAGAAATAGACGAAGCAATTTAATTTTTACATAGAAAACAAAAATATATGAAATATTTTCATCATGAAATGAATTGTATGAAACAATTTCATCATATTAAACAATTTTGTGAAAAAAATTCACTAAAATACATACATACATACATACATACATACATACATACATACATACATACATACATACATACATACATACATACATACATATGTGTGTATGGGTTAAATCAAATAAGAACCATAAAAATGTTACAAACCACGTGAGAACCGCTTTAAAAACAATTTTTTTACATGATTTTTTTCATCATATACTATGATTTAAGATATTGTTTCACATATATTTGTTTCATAATATAATGGTTTCACATGTATTTGATTAATCATATGAATATTTTTTTATGTTTTTCGTTTCACTAAGTGAATAAAAAAAATCACATTGTATTTTTTTTCATAAGTTGAACACAAACATATGTCAAACAATATGTTAAATCTAGCTTTTGATAAATAAAAAAAACAATGTAGAAAGATGTTTTTATATCGACTCTTACAGGTTTGTAAATTTTTTGTGGTTCTCATTTTGATTATCGATATATATATATATATATATATATATATATATATATATATAGGGTATATTTCTTTTTACAACCTTGTGTATTTGTACAACCCTTGCAACCCAATTAGTTGAGATATTTATAGAAATGATGAGAGTTCATTTATTATGATTTGAATATTTATGGAATATGAATAGAGTTCATTAATTATGATTAATACTTTATATTAGAAAACAATCAAAACTTCTATGAAATCACATATTCATCAAATGAAATGGACGGTTGAGATTGAGTTGTATTGGTTGCACAAATGNTATATATATAGATATATGTGCATATAGACTATATATTATACGATATGCAATCCTAGTTTCTAGATTACGTTGGTGAACCTCTCCCCCTCCTTGTTTTGTTCTTTCTCCGGTAAACCTCATCCCCCTCCCCTTTCTATTCCCTTTTCCGACAAACCAAATTATGGTGACAAGTACTAAAAAAAGCAATGCACCCCATCCCCTTCTTTGCAAACCCCACCCTTCCCATTCTACAAATAGACGCCTGGTTACAAGAATCGAAGAAGAAGTTCGCTCTTTGCAAATCCTCTTACTTGGTGAAAACCAACCTTCTCTTTGCTTTATAGTACCAGTAAACCCCAAAAACTATATCTCACCCTAATTGTTTTTTATGGAAGTGTGCATAAAATCCAGGTTTTTTAGTCAATTTTTTTAACGGTGAAGATTTTACACCTGAGAAATTGTGATTGGCACCGGGACGAGTTCTCTAAAACCACCACTTTCACCTCAATATCTTTTCTAAAGCCTCCCACCACGACACCTACATATATTTAAAAAAGATAAGCAAATTGTAACACCCCTAAAATTTGAAAATAACAATAAATTTAAACGATAGCAAAATGGTGGAGTTTCCTCAAAAATATAAACTTTGCCCACAATGGGTACTGATGTTCACAAATTATCATAGATCAAATTAGGTATCATAATACCATGATTTCTATTTAATTCTAAACAGAACTAGATTATCTATGTTCAAGGGGACGATGATTCCACTTAGTTTCACTCAAGCTTCATTCTTGTCATGGATAGATCACTCTTATCGGGGATCCCTAGGGAAGAGGGTGTTAGGACTGAAATTCAGTGTAAAGTTGTATTCGTCTTGAAAGTTAAAATTGTCTATAATTGTATAAAAGTTACCGTGTTTGACTTTTCTTTAAATAGTTTGACTTTGACTTTTTACTTTAACCCTATATAAAGGGTAAGTCTTGTGTAATTAGGTAGATGAGCTCAATTGTTAAATCTGATTACGTAAATAAGAGGTTGACCATTCTTAGGGTTTTGACTTTCTCTCTCTACTCTCTCATGTGTTCTTGATTCCTAGATCTGAGATTCTGCCATTGATTTTAAATAGAAGATTGAAGATTGATTATCGTCAAGGAAACAATATTATTTCAGGTGTCATTTTTCCTACTTATGCTGTTATAGGTTTCTCTTTTTTAGAATAAGGGAGGAAAGAGAAGACCAGAGAATGATGAGAAAGAGAAAATGGTAAAAAAAAATAATCAAAAAGAGAAGGTAGAAAACAGATTTGTACTCATGTGAAAGACACATACCTCTAATAACAGTGTTAACTCAAGGGATTATGAGTGTTAGAAAAATGAAAATTTAAGGACCTTCAATAGTCCGTTTAAGTAAACAAATTCAACTTTTAAGAAAAGCACATGGACGATCAGTGTAATTCAATCTATTTAATATATCCCTATGTAAGTTCTTTTTAGCCGAAAGCATAATCTCGTTATCACTATACAACAATGATGCACTTTGATGAACCAAAGAATCTTTACATAAATTTTCTGGGTTTTTTGATTTTTTAAAATGTTGAATAAGTTAAAAGACTTCTATGTCTTTGTGTATAGAAATCGTATATTTCATTATAAGTGTGATGTTTCGTAATTTTGCTTTCAGTTTAAATTTAAACCTCAAGTACAAACCGTTCAACTTCCTTCACTACTTCCTCCATCTCTCCACTTACGAAAGCCCTGTCCGCATTTCTCTATTATATTTTTAGGATTCCTCTGAGGAGGCTTTCCGGACTCATAAGTTTGTTTTTTTTTTCTTATCAAACTCTCCATCTCTCTATCTCTTGCTCTTAACTGGGTTTTTCTTATTTATGCTTTTTTTTATTTATGGTATTTTTACGAAGTTTGGATGTATTATCGCACACTGTGATAAAAGTATTATATGTTATTACTACTTGCAAAATCAGGTATGTGCAAGATATCTGGGTAATGACATTCTTTAAAGTTGGATGATAAAGTCAGGCCTGATATTTATTTCGTTTTGGAGTTTGCTAGAACATTATTTAATATTCAATGATCTATGTTTTTTATGCGAGCAAACCAATATGCCTTTTGAGATAACACAGGTTATAGCTTGCATTATACAGTTCTCGATGTTTAATAGATATTACATTTTGTTAAATAACAACTAAAATACGGACATCAATTATATTCTTATCCCATTTTTTATTGTTTAACTGTCTTACGAATCTATATATCTATATAAAGGAGGATCATCAAAAGATGATGTGACATTTTGAGAGAATTAGAATCATTGGTTGTTATTTTTTCCAATTTTTGAATTATTTAAAATAAAAACATATCATTAAATGATGCAAATGAGTATATCACGACTAATATGAGCAAATTGCAAAAAATATTCAACAATTATATCAAAGTAGGTAACAGCACAATGTTTGTTTGGTGGATATGAATATTTTATGAGAATATATGTAGGAGATAAATTGATATGTATTATGACAAAACAATTCTCATAATACACCTCATAATTATAATCAATATTTTCACATGTTTTTTATGATTTTGAACCAATTACAAAGTTTGATATAATAAAAGATTTATATATAATACTTATTAATACATACATACATACATACATACATACATACATACATACATACATATATATATATATAACAATCAATAATGATAAGGTGGATTCATATATCAAAGTAATTATTGTTTTCTATTAATTTAACATGTAAATATGATCATCGACTCATTTAGCTAACTTAAATAATTTTAAAAAAAATATTGTCATCGTACAACACTCGATGTCAAACACTAGTTAAGCTATAAAACGATTGTTTTATAATGATGGCACACCTAATCAATGGGCATTAATTTATAAAAAAAAAATCTTATAAGTTATTGTTTTTATTATTCTTTATCAAACAATTTATGATTATTAATTACACTTTATTTGTATGTAGGGATGGACCCAAAAAAAATTTTAAACAGTGACACCATTTATTTATAAGAAAAAAAAATATAGGAATTTTTTTTCAAACGGTGACATCGTTTGACTATCACCGTTTGACTATAAGAAACAAACATACGGAATTTTTTTCACCGTTTGACTAAGAAAATGACACTAACATGATTCGGACTTGGATGTGGGGTAGAATAAAAGTCTTGCAAACCAACTCTATCAAATAAAACTTGTTCTCATTGTAGTTTCAAAATACATACAGTAGCACACAACAAATTAATACGGTTGCACCGTTCACGAAACCTAATTTTTTTACCCTTCGACAGAGTAATAATCCGGTGGCACGTGCCACTATACCACATACATAGGTCCATCCATGTTTGTATGTGAAATTCATTTCAAATTCAGTTTTTTTTTAAAAAAAAAAATAGGTTGCAAACCAAGTTTTATAAATTAAATTGTTACATACATATATCATAGTTTTACATATATTTAATATTGTGTATATACAAAATGACTAACCATTTTTGTACAAATTTAACTTTAGTATATATTATAGATAACATTTTTTACACTAAAAGAATAAATTACGTATAAAATCTTTTCTTATTGGAAACAATATTAATGAAAAATAACTTACATATTACAGTCATAATACATTCATTGTGTAATATTACATTTCATTGATCGTTATTTACCAAATTATGTTTCACCTTAATTCAGTTATTTATTTTTAACAACTATTTTTTGTCATCGCATCACACGATGACAGAAACTAGTTGCATCGTTAAGTGGACCGGCCCAACCCATTTATGATCTTTCTACTAATGGGCTAGGCTAAACATTCCAGTGTGGGAGATGTGCTAACAAACAGTGCGTCCATCGTACTATAATTAAATTGATCAAACTACGATCGTCGATTGTTAGGGTTTACATATCATAGATGTTTTAGCGACTCAAATATTTGCATATACAAATTCAGCCGCCTTCCTCACCTTTTTTCGTCTTTAAAACTCAAATCGAGCCAGATCCAAAAACCACACAACCCTTCTAATCAAATTTTAATCTTACAAACGGAATTTGATTCGGTTTCTCAAAAACCATACAACCATCTTTATGAATAAAGATGAAGCAACCCCCTAATTCGATTGTGTTTCACAGTACGGAAATTAGAAAGTCCAAACGCTCCTTTTTGTACGATCAGCTTCAACACATCTACATCGTCAAAGAAGATACGCATTTCCTTATCAATCTTCATTCTTGTCATGGCAAAACCATATCACGAGTCATCACGAAGATAAAAATCATGCATCGATCTCTCTTGGGAATTGAAAGCAAACCGTCAATGTTCATAACATTTCATAAAAGGGCTTCTTACTCATGTTTTGTCCCAAAAGGTAAACCGCAAAAAACATTTATTTGTAATATTCTTTTCTAGGTATTTAGATATAAATTGACGTGAAATTGAGGCACGTTTTAAATAGTGGTAAAATTAAGTGTTGATTTTGTTAGAGTTTTCCAAATCATATGATTGATATTTTGATTCCTGTGAATTACATAAAACTACAAAAATCGTCCTTAAATTTTAATAAGTACATAAATGATCACTATATTGACAAGGTTTATATTGACATCAGATTGGAAGGCTCCATTCGGAGATGATGGATTGCGATACATGCTACACGAGCCTCAAATTTGCAGTGATTGTTGCTGTATACTTTGCTCTGTAAGAGTTGGTTCAGCACATGGTGGTAAGAGTTTCATGGCATATGCAACCGCTGTCAAAGATGGGTTTATTTGTGGAAAAATATGTTGCATAGATTGTGCCCTTCGTTCTTACATGGTTGGGACTGTAGGAGGAACCATTGGCCTGGATTTAAAGTATTACTGTCGTCGTTGTCATGACAGGACTACTTAATTCCACATGTCAATAATCCTCTCCAGAATTGTGAGTCTATTCATTCTGGCAGAGGGGTTCACCGATTGGGGGTTGAAAAAGGAGGAAGAGAAAGGGTACGGGGAAATGGGGTTGGATTGTTAGGTATGTGTGCTTGTGAAAAGAAAATAGAAAAAGACCAAAATGGCCCTGAACTTAACAGAGTTAGGAAATGATGTCATAGAAAAAGTAAATTGTAACGACTATATATATATATATATATATATATATATATATATATAAAAGTTTAAAGATGGTTTGTATGGTTTTGCATAGATCATTGGGACCAAAATTGTAGTTTACTCTAAATTGAAATGGGAATACAAATCAAACATCTTTTATCCCATCATTTCGTTTAAAAGCTATTGTAAACAACTTAAACTTTGAAGTTCAAAGCTCGTAATCTCAGCAAACTGCCTCAAAAGCCCCATCCTGCTCTCCACGTAAACCATTCTGAAAACCCTCACTTCGTTTTTTAGGCGAACCTTTGTTGAATATATGGATGCCACTACCATAGAGAAATTAAAGCAATTTATCGAGAAGTGCGAGTGTAAACCGCCTATTCTCAATGATCCTTCATCTGTAACTATATCGAAAGGCATATACTTGTTTAATTTCTTTCGGTTGTTCTTGTACATTTTCTTCATTAATTATCTTTTATTTGCTTACTCATTTAGGAACTTGTTCGGTTTTCTTTTTATTAGTGTTGGTGGTAAGATTCCATCGTGCTCTTACGAGCACAAGGAGAATGAATCGATACTTACTTCTTACTTGATTTTGTCGTCCTATATAATCTGATTGTTTAACTTTTTGGATGGTGAAACATGTGCTTTGAGTGTTTCAGTTTTGCTTGTCGAATGTTGCTGATGGAAAATATAAGAAGTTGATTGGGAAATTTGGCAAGAAGTTTTCTACTGCTGCAACCTCGATTGTTGTTTAATATTAACCATATTTAATAACAGATGCTTTCGTCATCCTCCTTTTTATGTGTGCTTGATTGTGTGATGTTACTTCTAAACTTGATTGCGAATTTTGTAAATAAATTTTGTCTTGTATGTTATGGCTTCAATTATTAGTGAAATTATCCAAAATTCGTAACATATGTTACAAGTTGAAAAATACAGATATCGGAACTTTTGCGAAGTTCATAACCATTATAAACTTAAGATGGATTAGATTTCTTTTTTTGGAAGAGAGGAACAAGTAGGGGCATAAACGAAAATGTCGACTTATAGAAAACGTGGCGGCATGAGGCTGAGACTGAGTTTTTCCCATCTCCACTGCGTTTCCTAAACCCCATCTACAACAATAGTTGCAATATATAATACCCCAAATCCAAACACAAAGCATAATAAAAGCAACCACCACTTTCACCTCAGTATCTTGCTCAAACCTCCCACCACAACACCTCCATTTATATAAATATAGACTAGAAGGGTACTTGCATAATATAACGAGATATATTTCGATTTTAATGTTCTATTTTATTCTTTGTCTCTGTCGATATTATAATACGATTTCATGTGTTTTTAATAAAGCAATAATGATTTTATTTTTGAATAAAATATAAATTTAAAGATATCATAAAATTTTAAAGAAAAAAATATATCAATGTTAATATCAAATCAACTATTTAAAAGTTCTTATTTTTTGTAACTTTCTTAATTCAATTTTTTTTTATTATAATTTAGTTTAAATTAATAATTAAGTATTCTGTTAGAATTCAATGATTATGCTAATTATATTTTAGATTTTTTATATTTAAAATGATATGTTTATCCTATATATGATTATGTTTATCTGCAGCTAGTTACATGAATTTAGATATGGAGCTTTAGTAAGTTGTACTTACGCACAATCTACTTGTAGTCTTGAGTTTTAAGTAACATACATTAATAAACAGTATTTTAAGCATAAAAAATGGTTTTAAAGAGTTTTTATCAAATGTTTTATAATATATTATAGATAAGCAAATTGTACAACTCTAAAATTTAAAAATATTAATAAATTTAGAAAACGGAAAATGTTCGATCTTTTTCAAAGTTATAAAGTTTACACACAAGGGGTACCAATGTTTACAAAATAACAGAGATCAAATGGAGTATCAGAATACTATGACTTCTATCCAGTTCTGAACAGAACTAGTTTTAAATCGGGGATTACTAAAACCACAAAAGTCTGTTATCTTCAATGTATGATGTCTCCTCAAAAATGTTGTCCCATCACTGGCACCTGCAGTCCAAACTCAAAGACTTTTTGGTGATGTATTATACATGTCGACAAGAAAAAAATGTTAAGACTTAAAACCTAGCTAGTTCGAGTAGTTTGTATCAAATATAAATGCGGCATGATAGATAGAAACATCCTAACAATCATATCCCTTATTTTGGAAATTATGTCCATAAAACCAAGTAGTATTCCTCTTTAACTCGCTTTCTTTAAGAAAAGATGGTTAAACCAAACCATTTATCTTGCGATAATAGGGGATTGAAGACCTGATTCCATCATGTAGCGGAACATATAGTAAGTTACACAACGATATTGACGAGTTTCACTTTAAGGTTATCAAGACCCTAATGTCTACTCACCTTATGGCTAAGATAAAGACATTAGAACTCCTTAAAAATCCCAGAAGTTACAAGATGGGAACTTCAAAACTCTTCGTTAGTCCAAATTAAAGATTATAAGGAAAGAACATTAAAACTTTTCCCTTGTCCCGAACCGACGACATCAAGAGTAAAACATCAAAACTTCTTTCTTGATACGTTCAAATTGATAATGCACATGGATCCAATACAACAAGATACTATAATATGTTTAGTAAAACTTGGTCCAAATGCCCACTAAGTAATGCATTTAACCCAAAATGGTGAAATCATTAGTGAAAGGTTTATTTATACCCAATACACCACATATTAAAACTATTTACTCAATGAAATCAAATATGATTTATGAAATCGAACATCAAATGGTTAACCTAGAAACCATCAAATCTTGTCATTTAGAATGATTCTATACAAGTGTCTAGAACACAAATAAAGACGTTTTGACATGTGCAAAGGTAGAATAAACTCACGAATATTAGATCTGGTCCAATCTAGATTTAAGGCAAAGAGATCCAAAAAATCTTGAAGAGAGGTTGATGATCCAATTCAACATTCTTGAATGGTGGCTTCAAGTTTGCAAGATTTGAGCTTTTCTTACTCTCAAATATCTTCTAACGGACTCCCAAAAACACCCACGAATCCTCTAAGTTAAAGGTATGAGAGAAATTGAGGCTGAACCTTAAAAAATGGGTTTTAGAAGTGACCTAGACTTGGGCCGCCACATAAGTCGCGTTAGAGGTTGCCCGACCCTCTGCCTCGCCTTGCTCGATCCCCCTCGATGCCAAGTGGCTTCAGCGGCCGGACATACGACTTAGGCCATGCGACAGGTCGCAATGACCTCCAAAGAGCCCCAAATTCACCAATTTTGATGCCTCTTTGATCCCACAACATACCAAGGTTAATAGCCGCAACCAAACATTAAATATTTCCATTCAGACAATGAAAACAACTCAAGAAATCCCAAAATTACATTTACTGAATATACGGGTGTTACACACAGTTCGAAAAAGAATCCGTTAAACGCCTAGATGACCAACTTCATGTTTCATAAAACAAAATTGATTCCATCTTGATATTTTAAAACAACATATTTTAAAAGTTGATTCATCAAATCGCTAAATAATTATATTAGTCATGCATGATAAAAATAACTATTTTAGTATATGATAAAATCATTAAATTGATATGTACATTTGCATGATAAAAATGTTCCTAGTGGATTGGGCCAGAAACCAACAATTTATTCGTTATTAAACATGATTGGATGAATTCACATAAATGCTTCAAATCGACCCAGATTGTCCAAAGTCAACGCCTAAATGTTAGCTTCTTCACATGAAAGTGAAACTCGTGCACTTTGAAATTTTGGAGTACAATTTTGAAGTCAAAACAACTTTTCTTCATGGGGGTTTACCAAATTATTCATATTTTATTAGATAAATAGTTTTTTTTATTAACCTAGATATTTAACCCGCTATGCGAGTCGAATAATCTCAAGGCGACCACCTGCTTTGCAAATAGTCCGGAGTCACCGCATTTGAACCTCCGTGGCCACAAGAGGATTTTTTTGAACCTGGGATCTCCAGGTACTTTTGACATTTGGAGCCAAGCTCAAACCAATCAGGCACCACCCGTGTGGTTTTATCAGATAAATAGTTATGGGTAATTATATATATAATAAGACGTGTCAGGCTTAAATTTCACCAAAATAAGAATAATGATTTAGAGAGTGTTTGATTATAAGTATTAAGTAGTCATCAATGAGATTGAATATAAAAGAGTTGTTTGGTTTTATATAATATAAATGATTTATTCCTTTTCAAAAGCCTAAATCTTCATTCCCATTTTCATTCTTACTTTCGTTTTCCTACCTGAATCGAACTACACCTTAGAGAATCAAATATATTTGCCTCGACGATCAAGTAGGAATAATGATTACTAGAATCAAATTACGCATTTTTTAAAAGTATATAACATATAATAATAACGTTATTGATAATTAGAATATAACATAACAAAATTAATGTTACGATAAAACCAAAGGAACCAAGTATATCCACACAAGGTAAAGGTCTGATACGATAAAATATACGGTGTGCATGGATCTTAATTCTCTGTATATCATAAGGTAAAGTTGTTTTATTAAAAAATAATGAGATAAATTTAGTTAAACACAAAAAAAAGAATTGTTATTTACTTAAAAGATTATAAATTTATTAGTTCCTTTTCAAATTTTATATTTTTTAATTTATTAACAATTTTAAAATATATTATAATTTAATATATAAATTTTTTTTAAATACAAAAAAAGGTTGGTACCGATCATGTTTTTGGACCAAAGTCCATATCATGTGGCATGGATCGGTTTTGTTCATTGTTGCATAGACAACTTCAGAATTGTCATTGCATATGTTCTTAATAATCATTACGATATACAGGTGAGGTTGTCTGAGGTCTAAAAAATTACAATTATTTTATTAAGAGTTATTTAAGTATTAATCAAAGACTTTTGTTAAACTATCGCTAGACATCTTCAACATCGTTCGATACAGTTTCATCATCAAGAAAAGCAAATACACATATGGCTCGAGACATACAAATACCTT